GCTAGGGCAGGAACCGAATGCCATTTGCAGCCCTTCTGGGGAAGAGGGGCGGGGCCCTTCCTCAAAAGTGCCGGGCGCTGACACAGCCCCTGACAGGCTCTGGCCTGCCCCCGCCGTACCCGAGACTCTGGAAAAGGATCACAAGAGCCATTTGGGGGCCGGAGCGAGCCCCACGCAGTAGGACATGGCCGGGGGGTCGGTTCAGTCCGGCTCAGAGCAGGGTGAGGGGAGACTTCCTGCCAGGGGTGCACACGGTCTGGTCTGCGCCTGGTTCTCAGCCGGGCCCCCGGGCGTGGCCCTTTCCTCGTGCCGCACCCCACGACCCACCACTGCCCAGCGGGGAGTAAGGGGCGAGAGTCATTGGAATGTCAGACAGGCACCGACACACCACAGCCCCCTGGGGAGGAGACCAGGGCCCGGGGGTGGGAGTGTGGGAGGAGAGCTGGGGAGGGTGGGAACAAGGTGAACTCGGAGTAGGAGACGGGGGCCAGGGACTCCTCTTCCTGCCCTGCTTGGCATCCAAGTGAGAGAGGGCCAACGCGGGGTTGGGATACAGACTCCTCTTAGAAGTTCCCCTGGGAGCGAGCACGGCTGGTACCGCGCGTCTCCGGCTGCCCCTTGGATGTGCCTGGCTGTCTGCTGCCTATTCACCCTTCACCGTCCTGCTGGACGGGCAGAAGAAGTGGGGTTCCACAGGGGTCTGGTTTGGGACCGGCTCTGTTCAATAGCTTCACCAATAATTTAGCTGTTGGCGTAGAAAGAACACTTATTAAGTTTGCAGATGATCCCAAGCTGGGAGGGGATGCGACTGGTTTAGAGGAAGGGTCATAACTGGAGAAATGGTCGGGGGTCAACAGGATGAAGTTTAATAAGGACAAATGCCAAGTGCTCCACTTAGGAAGGAACAATCCGTGTCACTCATAGAGAACGGGAAGCGACTGTCTGGGAAGGAGTCCGGCAGAAAGGGATCTGGGGGTTATAGTGACCACAAGCTAAATTGGAGTCAGCAGTGTGATGCTGTTGCAAAAAAACCCAACGTGATTCTGGGATGTATTAACAGGTGTGTTGTGAGCAAGACACAAGAAGTCATTCTCCCGCTCTACTCTGCGCTGGTTAGGCCTCAGTTGGATTATTGTGTCCAGTTCTGGGCACCGCATTTCAAGAAAGATGGGGAGAAATTGGAGAGGGTCCAGAGTCCAGAGAAGAACAACATGAATGATGACATGTATAGAGAACATGAGCTACAAGGGACGACTGAAAGAATTGGGCTTGTTTAGTTTGGAAAGGAGAAGATGGAGAGGGGACAGGAGAGCGGTTTTCACGTATCTAAAAGGGTGTCACAGGGAGGAGGGGGGAGAAAACTTGTTCTCTGGCCTCTGAGGACAGGACAAGAAGCAATGGGCTTAAACTGCAGCAAGGGAGGTTGAGGTTGGACATTAGGAAAAACTTCCTGACTGTCAGGGGGGTCAAACACTGGAATAAATTGCCTCCAGGGTACACACACTGTCAGGGATGGTCTAGATGGTGCTTGTTCCTGCCGTGAGGGCCGGGGACTGGACTCGATGCCCCTCGAGGTCCCTTCCCGTCTAGTGCTCAGTGACTCTACGGTTCTGGTGCGGCGCACGGGGCTGCCGACACGGCCGGCCTGCAGGTGCCTTGGGAGCCCCAGAAGCCCACCTGGGGGG